AGCTTGTTTGGACATCGAGCGATGTTGTCGTGGCTTGTAGATGCACCTGTTATATCGGTCAATGGCTGACCTTTTATAAAACAACTCATGACTGGCCTTTGTTTATCGACCTTCCTCTTTAAGGTGGAAGGTTGTAGCTAACGTTTCCCATACCTTAGCATCGATTTATTGCGTTAATTGTAAAATCCGGTCGGTAATTTTGTACCAGAAGAGTAAAGCGGACTCGTATTGGGCACATGAATTCTTAAGAGTCTCTCGCCCGGTTCTGCATAACGTTGGTAGCCGATCCGCGATTTAAACTCGTTCCGGCCCTCCGCCGATTCTCCCGTTATATCATTTACCTCATGAGGTATGGAGTGAAACGGGACGAGGGACGAACGTGCGTCGTAACCGAGCAACGGGATCTGTGCGCGTTTCAATTTAGCCGGTCGGCGAGGCGAAGTCGGAGCCAATTTCTCGCTCGCGCCGCCGAAAGAAGAACCCCGGTGGCAGATTAATGAAAATGCAGGATCCGGCGTTCATTATTCATCTCGATGCTCATTAACGCGCTTGCATTTTGTTTCGAACATCGCTTTCGGTGCTAAACGTGTCCTAAAAACGGATTCAGGTGCAACAAATCGATAGCGCCGACTCGACCGGATGCAACGTGAGGTCAATCGTGGCGACCATGGCGACCGGTGGACGCGAAACGCATCATCCCGATCACCCTTTGCTAATCTGCACCGTCCACCGAACGGTCTACAGACCGCTGAACCTGAAGCTATGAAAGATCTAGGTTTCTCGGTCGGTAGCCAGACAGGTGCTTATATCCGTCACCCAGTTGGGCCGTCGCATGGGCAGTGGCCGTCTCGTGTCCAGTAATGATACACAACCAAGCGTGCTCATTAATTATGCATAAAAGCGACGGATCGTTATCGTGTTTCTTTCACGTTTGTCGTTTCTTCTCTTTAAATGAACCGAACGGAGATGATATGGACACCGTTAGATACGAGCGGCTTTGCTTCAGTGCTGACGTCACAGGAAATATTGCACAGGAAGCGACAACCTCTGTGCAGTGGACTTCTTAGGGCGTAGTGAATAGTGAATAGAACAAACAGAGACGGCCCGACGGAACAACAAAACGTTTAATAGGATTATCGAGTCAGATTAGGCATGACCGGGACAATGCATCACCTGCAGTGTAGGTATCGGCAGCACTTACCAATGAGAACGAGCAAGCTCTTGCTCCAACGCTGCAGATCTCTGAACACGGCACGTCGCTTTATGGCGCATTGCGAGGTGCACAGGTTCATGTTGACGTGAGACGTCAGGATGATGGTGAGGTGACGAGGCTATGACGCGCTGAAGCGATGAGTGACGAGTATGCAACCACACAGAAGCGCGACGCAGCCAACGCCACAGACAGCGCAGGGGTGACGTCCTGTGGAAACGGTTCACGAAAATGTATTTACCCTCTCGAAGCAGTCGATGGAACGTACTTTCCCGCCACCTAGCTGCGATCGAAAATAATCGATATGAGGAAGAATGTACAAGTCGTCTGTCACTTCACCTGCTAATCGGGCCAGACATCCAAAAAGCGAAATTAATCGTCCGCTAGCACACCGAGCAAATGAATGTCACTTATGATCGACCGACGTGCTACCATGTTAATTGTCGTCGTTTTGCATGTCGTCAGGACAGACGCACCGTCGCTCGTTGGCACATGTCCTTTCCTATAGCTTATCACTGACCATCGCTGTGCCAACTGCCTGATCTGTCATTGCCATCACTGACTGACGGCTAACTTAGGTGTCCCCTGCAGCATCGTCGTTGGTCAACTGCATTCGGCGACGGCGGAAACGGAATCGTCGCAGCTGCCGTGAAGCGTCGCGTCGCTGTCGCTTTCATTGCGCGACATTACGCAGTTCCGTTCAGGCTGGCAGGCCGGGCGTCGTTCGAACGGGCCCGGGCGGCGCAGTTATTTGACTTGTCCAATTAGGGCGTCGCTAGCAGGCGGGGCCCATTGTCACAGGTCCTACGGTAGGAATGCGTCAGATTCGTGCGGCGGCCGCTGCTAGGTGGTCATTAGCGCCGTGTTGTCGGTCGCTCGTTACATGCCTAAACACGGCCGTTAATCGCGCGTTAGAGACCGGGTGATTTATTAGGCGCCTAAATGATAGTTATTCATTGTGCGATATCGGGTACTTTTTGCCCAGGTAGCTTGGAAACGGCTTGTTAGATAAGTTCTCACCGCTCCAACAAGATCTGACCAAAACTACCGAAACAGACTGCAATCGATGTGTTCGTTCTGGTCATCTTTTAAGCTATGCTAACCACTGGTCACCGGTCACTGTAC